AGAGAACAGGGTCATATAAAATAACCCTTCATCCGCGCCATTAGAAAGTTCAAACACCCAAAAACCAAAATGAACTTTCAACCATCCAAAATGAACTTTCAACCATCCAAAAACTTTATTCAAAAACTAAAACACAAATCCCAAGTCTTCCTACAACACTTTTTGTCACCACCTCCGTCTCAGGCCTGCCAAGAACCTACCCTCCTCCGCTCCATACGATTTGTGACGGTTTTAACTGGACGGGTCAGCGACACCACGCTTCCAAATGGAATTTATACGGCGGCATTCTCAATCTCGGATTGCTTGCGATTTTTCGGGCAGTCGGGCACTAGCGGTTTTAACCGGGCCGGTCAAACGAACCCATATTACAGGCGGAAGTCGCCTGCAAATTTATTACGGTGGCCCTATCCATCTCGGATTGCTAAGTCTCGGGGAGTGGAACTTGGGATTTATCAGCAGGTTGAAGAAGTTATAGTTGGGGGGTGTTGTTGTCCAGGATAGGGCTTGACGCAGTAAAATTCACTATGGACATTGGGAAGTACCGGAAGCAATATGGGCCAACGTTGGTTTTCATGGAAGAAAAGTGGTCAGGGGAACTTGCAGTGTGTCAGATGAATAGAATTGATTTAGATGATTCTGCATAAAATACCTGTAACTTGATTTAGATGATTCCGCATAAATACCGTAACTTTAAATTTACAAATATATTTTAGTTATAATAAAATTTTATATAACAACCATGTATATTTTATTGTAAAAATTTTTCCCATAAATAAAATATATGTTTTACACTAAAATCTACTGTACTAGTGATATCAAAGCTTTTTATTACAATACTGATAAATTTATGCATTATTGTCAAATCAATTAGTTAGGAGGTTTATAGTAACGATATATACGTTGTGCTTATATATTGAATATGTAGTATTAGTATGAAAATTGTCTCAAGGATTTCCTAAATATATATTATCAGTATTGTATAAGAGCGTGAGCTAAGACTTCTAATTGTATTTCGTAAGTGCAAGGATTTCGTATTCTTTATGGAATACCAATATCGAGGAAATCTTTCAGTACGCTGTTGATAATCTTCTATTATACAAAGCCTATATGCGGAATGCGTTCACTAGCACCCAAAAAGTATTTATTATTGCTGTCCTATTACACATCTCTTTGAATGGTTTATTTTTGCTACACGTATGCAACGCTTCAGCCTCCTCCGTGCGGCATATTATTCGTGAATCACATGTAAACTCTTGATATTATCAACCATTTTTTCGTAGGGGGTGTGAAAATATATGATTAGTTGATTACAGCTTTTTTATATACCATTTATAATTAATAACTGCCTGTTCGATGTAATATACGCTATTAAAAAATCATATACATTGATAGTATATTGTATTCAATACTTGTACTTGTCGGCTATTGTAATAAAATTCTTTCTTGATACTGTGAAAATAAACGTAAAAACTCTAACAAATTGCCTTAAAATCTGCTTTATTTAGTTTTATATGAAAATGTAACCTACTGACCAGTAAGCCATTGGCAACATTTAATGAATGGTAGATGAGCAACTAAAATAAATTTTGTTATTTTTATTTTTTGGCTTAATGGGTTTATCTATTAATTTTTTGTTTACTTCCTTAAGAAGTATTAAAGTATAGAAATAAAAACAGTTTGCCAGTTTACATTAATATTAATGCCACCTTTGTTTGGGTAGTTGATGATCAAATTCTGCAACAATTTTTGCTTTTGTTTAATGCAAAATTAGCTCAAACTGGAAATCTATCGGTTGGAAGACCTAACTTGCTGTCAAGACCTATCCAAACATTTTACAGTCAAAACACTTTGAACACTTTACATGTTCGATCAAATGCTGAAATTATTTATTGCGTACTAAATTGAAAGATATTTACCCACAGAGGGATGTGAGTGAGCTTTATGCAATGTCAGCTTCATTGATGCATGGTAAAGTTAAAAAGGTTTGTATACAAGCTTGTATTGTAAAACTCTGTCATTATTTCAAATTATCCTGTCTTGAAAATATAATACACTGATGCGTTGCTATTGCATTTATCAAAACAATTAGATGTTACTAAAAAAATTAGGCTTGAAGTACTGCACAAGGAGAAGTGTAAATTTGTAACATAAATATATGAATAACAACATGATCAGATAACAATATAATAAAGACTTATAGAATGCAGAGTTTGAGTAGAACAGCTTCGTCACTAATCGATTGTTTTGTTAGAATGGGATTGCATAGACATTATATTTATATAAAGGCAAATATTATAAATTTGCTTTATTGAAAGCTCTGATAACAATTTATTCAACAATAAATTGACATTCTTGGAGCCAACTTTAGCCAGCATTTGGAACAAAGCACATGAATTAGAAGCAAAAAATTGCAGTTCAGACAAATAAGTCTTTAAGCATTTACAGGTAAATAAATATTTATTTACGTTTAGAAAGTGGAAATACTTTGATTATTTAAGAAAATATTGAAAACTTGATATAGATTGATATTCTAATAAAACCTTATAACTCAAATGCATTTTTAAAAATATTAATATATTTGATTAAAGTCATACGTACATCTAATAAATGTTTATCAAATTTGCAAGTTCAAAAGTGCAGTCACTGTAAGGAGACATATGTAAATGTAGGAATATGCAAATCCATCCAAGCACTACCATATACGTGTACATTGGGTTAAATCATCAAATACTCCCGCATGTGATAGAAAGACGCCCCTGCTGCAATAATACCTGATATTAATATACATAACAAAACCAAAATAATGTCCGGTTAATGTATATAGAATATATTTTCACCATTACTGTAAATTATGTGGGATGATAAATAATTGTTAAACGTCCTCTGAAGTTTGACTTGGTGGTTGGATTATTTTCATTTTACTTTTTGATGTCATACGCGCGCTTTTCTGCAAATTTGATGTAAGATTAGTGTTTAGTAATAGCCTTGATACACTGTTTAAAATTTTTTTCGTTTGATCATAATCAGCTGCTTGTTTACCATTTTAGCATTTCTGCCATTCGCGTACGTTTCCGCATGTTACAATACCCTGCACCCTGCAGAACCTCTTTCATGATTGACAGGTGTTACCTTTGACAGAATAAAACTTCGACTCGCTTTCTTTTTCTTCTTCTTTTTTTTTTTTTTTTTTTTTTTTTTTTTTGCCAAGTTAAATCAACATGATAATCTATTCGGTGCTATGAACAGGTGACAAATAAATGGCCGAATAGTATTCCATATTCAAGTCGTCAGCGGATCTCCAACCATAATTTATACATGCTATTCAGGTGATTGATCAATCGATTGGTCCAGTATGCGAACAGAGGAGTACAGTCACGAAAATTTTTCTTATAAAATAACGTCCTCTCGTGCCGATGGGAGATTCACCGTCAAAATGTCTTCACAAACAAGACGTTGTTACATAATATCACGCAATCTCCTCAAACAAAATTTCAAATACAAACCAAAATCATCAAATTGTCTTGATGACACCCTACCCTCTGCCTTGTGCACATTGCCTCCGCTTTACCGAGCACCCGATATACGTTGACGACGGACAACCAACATTCTGACGAACCACAGTCACTAGCTCGGATAATGGAAGAAAATTACAAAAGCACAGAATGTGAGAAAGGAGCCTGGTGGGGATCTCTTCATGACTAGAAGAGAATGGAAGAAAGAGAGTTGGGGGGGCGTGGATAAAGCCAGCGGCCGACGCATGGCTTACAGCTTACGGTGGTGAAAAAATATATCATTTTAATGTTTGGCATTATATTTTTAAATCATAATTGAAAAATTAAGTTGTAATAATATTATTCTAAATTATTAAAATGTATCTTTCAAAAGTTTTTATTTAATTAAACAAGAAAATATATCTAATATAGTAATAGTAGTATTAAAGTTTTAAATAAAGTTGTCAATGTAAAAATAGTTTTATTAAAATTTATTAATACTGGTAAAATTATAGAATTCGATTATTTTGCTTTCCAAATAGCCTATGACAACTATATGAATTATTACAAGATTAGTGAAACGACACAAGTTTAAAGAAAACAATACTCAATTAATCAAATCAATTAATCAATTAATATTGATACTATATTTAGTACCTTCTGTTCAACTCTTTTTTTCATATTTCCATAGATTTCCAATTGGATAGGGGTCTCTGTTACTGCATGTTTATATATCGATCCTTAATATCAACGAGTTGGCTGTTTCACATTATCTACTTCCTGACAAAGTGATCATTATCTATTTATAAAATAAAAGGAAGCGGATTATCCACTGTATGCATCGTATCAGAGAATCACGCTAGTATCTTGTATTCTGCAGTCATTTACACGCCTAACACAATAAAACCGTTTCATATACTCCATTGTCAAAATCACGATCAGACTATTAATTAATGCGGGACGAGCGGCAGGATTTAATTGAATGTCAACTAAGCAAAAGTGATTATTAGTCCAAGAATGAATTATTCCCTTCATAAATTGCTCAGCCTTTCGAGTAAACTTTTCGAGGTCTTTATTTAGGCGCAGTAAACTTAAATCTTGCCGATCTATTCACACGTGGTGTATAAGAACGTTGCTCATTAAATAATCTTGTATAATCAACGTCGGGCGAAGAGAGGTAATAGTTGTTTGTATGACGAGTGGTGAAGGTATAAAAGCGACTGTTTATGGATATAGAATGTTATTAAGCTGTTCTAATTCACTACGTAAACAAGGATGCGGAGTTGCTTGTTCTGGCAAAGACTGGATCTTTGCGCGTTTTTCAAGTAAGTAACAATGATGTTATCTGTTACTAATTCTCGCCATCGAATTAACCTAACATTGAACTCTTATGTTTATCCATCTAGTCGTGCAACCTTTCCTCGAATTCTCTCTTCGTTCGACCTTGGTAATGATTCATTGGAGTTCGAGAACTTATTTAATTGGATCGGTCTTCTTAATTGGTGATTATTCAACTGCTTATCATTAATCCAACTGCTTACCATTAATCCAACTGCTTACCATTAATCCAACTGCTTACCATTAATCCAACCGCCTACTCAATCTCTTCTCTCTACTGAACTGGCTCTCTGTATCCCCGTCGTAAACATATTTCATGGCCCTGACAAATCCCATCAGATTCTGAGTTCACACGTTAATTGTGTCTCAATTGTTGAAGTGTGAGTTAGCGATTTACTTTGTGAATTGGTGGCGAGCGGTTTGTTTTTGTACTGTGGTTGTAGTTTTTACGAACGCAAACAAAGTCAAGTATCATAAATGAATATGAATTATATTCACTCACATTTTTGCTTTGCTAAGCAGGATATACGTCGAATGGACATTATCCCGCCTGACTTATAACATTGAATGGCCGTGGAAATGGGAGGTCAGTCACATGGTAAGCCATTCCGATATGCAAGCTCATTCATTGTTGTCGTCAGTCACGATTGGTTTCGACATTAATCGAGAGCCTAGTTGGCTGTTATATATTCAGAATTCTTGACAGAGTTATTAAGCTCAAACCATGGTTCGGGAGAGAGATATAAGGAGAGATCGTTCAAAAAATGATGACAGACGAAGATTGGACTTTGCTGAGGTGTTTGCGTGGTGAGTGG